TAAAAAAATATTATTAATGTAAATGAATAATGACAATTTTACTGTAAAACTTTTATATACAACATTTTTTGATATATTGAATAGTTTTCGAGATATAACAAAAGAAAAAAAGAATTAATTTACATATAAGGGGTGGATTCATCCCTTTAAACCGTTTTTTAGCACCAACTGATAATTTCTAAATTCATCTATTTATGTGACCAAATTGTGTACCAAGTTTCATTAAAATCAGAATGTGACACTTCGCGAGGTTCCCTTGTTAGAAATATTTGTAAAATAAAAAAATTTTGTACAATAGAATATCGATAATGATTTCTTATAAAAAATATGTATGTATACAAAACATATAAATGTACATTATACATTAAATATATACTGTGTATATATATCTTATTAAAATACATATATCAATTATATATAAAAATATATAAATATATAAAATATCTAAATATTTTATAAAAATATATATGTATACAATATATACGTATATTATATATTAAATATGTATATACTATGTATATATGTATATTTTACTCTATATTGTATATATTAAATAAAAAATTCGACATTATATACATACAGAAAATTTTAGGGAATTTTACACAACATATCCTAAGCGACGTTTAATTAAATAGAGAAACCTGAGTTCGCTAAAATTTGCGCAATACTTAATACACATTACACAAGCGAAAGGAATCGCGAGTTGAAGTGGGAAAGAGCATTCGAAAGTGGATGACAAGATCCGATCGAAATGACCGTGACATCGAGATATAAGAGGGCTACAGTTTGTCATCACATGGAATTTTTTTCACAACGTCGTTAACCTACTTTCATAGATGTTGCATTTTATCTTTATCTAACTCGACAGTAATTTTAATTCTAATTCTGCGATATATATATGATTAATTTTAGTTATTAATTTATGTAACTATATTAAGTAAGTGCAGAAATGATACTATAAGACAGAAATGCGCTCTTTAGTTTTTCGAGAGTATAAAATTAAAATATAAAGAAATTAGAAATCGATTTGAAAGAGAGAGCGAGAGAGAGAGAGAGAGATGTACATTATTCGTACATTGTATATTTATATTGAGAATTAAATTTATGAGGTAATAAAAAATTATAATTATAATGTTTATTTTATCGTTCAGATTGAAAATTTTAAGAAAATGTTAAGATTTTAAAGAGAAGCTGTAACCTTTAGATATTAATCAAATAAATTAAATTTATTTATTTGTCTACAACCTACATAGTTCAAAGAAATCTTCCAAAATCTTTAAAAAATTTGAGTACAAAATAATATTAGTACGCTTCAAACATTTTTATTAAAGTTGTAAAATTAAGATGTATTGACTTTTATACATTAACGAACAATCAAATTTATTCGGTCAATATTTTGTTCAGAAAGTAATATCAAATATTTAAATAAAACAATTATTTTTTTTATACCGACAGCGATCGTCAAGTAGCTGTCATTATGTTATTTTTATCGAAGAAATCAAGTGCTATTATCATCGTTTTCTAATTGATAGTATGTGCGTCACAAATGTTAAGAACATTACTTCGAGCGATTACACGATTTCTAACCTTTATATAACCTTGCATGTATCTTATATTAAAAAAATTGTTGCATGTAATATGGATATACATATTTATATAGATATCTTTCTCGGCTACACATACTCTCTAAATCTGAATCACTGCATAGTCACTGTGATTATCAATGGTTATTCATTGAATGCATTACTCCCAAGTATTTTACTGGTAATCAATGATATTAGTTATAGTTAATATTAATAGTTTAATTATAGATTATGAGTGAAATTATAGTTAGATTATTGGTACTGACTCAATCAGGGATTTTTCAGTACTTTTCCACTGGTTCAGATTTAGAGAGTATGTTTTATTTTTTTAATTAGCGCGCAATTGACATGAATTGAAAATGTATGTATAATAAAACACAAAAATATTATTAAATCAAGATCCGCTGTGACCAAAAAGTATATGCTATAATATTGCTTATTATAGTTGTGTGTTTACATATCAGTTTATTTTTATTTATTATTTATTATTTTATTTATTATTGTTTTAGCTTTTGATAAATATTCTTTATTCCTACACCACAATTTACTATCACATATATTATTACTATACATATATTATTTGCAATTGCAAATATTGGCAATAAATTGTGTTTTGAAAGGTCGCAAATGGGACTGTAAACATATTTTAATTACCAATTCTGTTAGCACTTCTGGTAATATTTAACAACCTTTATCGGCAAAATATATGATAAAATAGTAGTAAACAGCAAGTATATTGACAAATTGGTGACAAAAGTAGTTTTATTATTGCAAGCAGTGTCAACAAATATCTCACAAAAATATAATAACAAATATAGTGACAGATGACTCAGATAAGCTGTTCTGAGTTTGTTGCAATCTATCGTCGCATTGCTAGTGTCAGATGCTTTAATATTGTCAATTTAACTGCGAAATATGTTCTTCAGATTTGGTTTACATTGGAGATCAATTGAGGACACAGAAAACCCTGGCTTTGGCATTATTGTTGACATTTGTTTTCCATTTGGCAACATTTCACAACCAAAATATTTGCTGGGTATATTATTATTAATTTATTGTTGTAAATAAAACAACTTTAATTTAACAATATTGTTAAAAAATGTATCTTTTTACAGCTTAATAATTAACGATAATATTATGAAAAAATATACATACACAAGTACATTTCCAAGTAACAAGATGACGTCAAATGACGTTTCAAGAACATTTTATTGACGTTAGAGACGTTATTAAGACGTTTTTTGACGTTATTAATACGTCAATTTTTTACTTGGATTGTATATATGTATATATATACAAATTATTCTTTATCACTTATTTTTAATACTCGTATTATCCTATAATCTTTGTCTACTTTTAACATTTTCTATATTTAATGCCGTTTTTATCTTTACTATTTTATTTTACATATTTTTAAATCCGCTTTTGAGCAAATATATAATTTTTTTAGATGTAAAAACAATTCACATTAATAAATCATATTTTGCGAATTTTAAACAGATGAATCTCGAATTTCTCGACAAAAAATAACGACGCTATAAAAAATGTAGAGAAATTATTGGAAGCAACTACTATGTCATATGACAATTATTACGACAGAAGTACTTCGTTTTGCTGAGGTACAAAGTCAATAATGAATAATAACATACTTCGAGTGGACATAATATATGTACAAGAGTAAAACCAGCGTAATTACACTTTACCAAAGATTCGGAACGTACGAAACCCTGCGTGCAAATCGTCGATTAAGTAGGAATTCGAATTAAGGAATTATTTGCGTTTGGCAAGCGTGCCGCTAGCTCATGCGTGTCGCAACACACGCCGAGACTATAACTACGTACTACTGCAGTATACTATAGCACCGCTTGTCCATCGACGACCTATCCGACCGGTTCTTGCACCTGACCACCGGCAACAAACGGGAGGAGCCAAATGGAATGCCTCTCTCCGCTGATTCTCCTGGATAAACGAATGAGAGATATCGCGATACTTCTTGATTTCGAACTCGATTCGCGGACCCGTGGCAAATTGTATAATTCAAAATATTAGCCGCAATCTGCATGTCGTGATCGCGAGACATCGTTTCGAAATCAGCCTCTTGTTGCAAAACCTACGAGCGAGAGGCTGAGAACGAGCAAGACCTCTTTTCGCAGCGTCTCGGCAATGTCTTGATTCTGAGCTTTCTTCGCGCCGTAAGAAGATTTCCAAATTATCCCGAATAATACAATAGATCCTAGAGAATTTGCGCGATAAATTACGTTTGACATATCGGTGTTCGATTTCTCAGTATGAATAACACAAGATAATTTATTCCAGTGACTTGAATAACTTTGAATGAGAAATAACTTTCCTACTTACCCAAAAGTGGCTCATGACATTAACATCCATCGTCCTAATGATAAGTTTGTCCGGAGTATCCAGAAACTTCATTCCCGTGACAATGCCCGCATTGTTGATAAGAATCGTCACCTATAAGTAATATAATATATTATCCAAGTAAAATAAATAAACTAATAAAAAATGATCGTGTCTGTGCGATAAAAATTCCGTTTCGAATTTAAGCGACTATAAGCTAGCACTGCTTTGCATCCGAATAAAAACGATTTACAGGAAGAGATGTATAATATGTATAATGTTGTATTTCCCCCGGGCACAAAGTGTGTCAGAGAATGGACACGTGTAAAAATGACGAAAAGCCAGGTTTCCTCGCAGTTCTTAAAACAGGTCGGGTTCGCATATCGAGTTCAACATATCGCAATGTTATGGCGTAACATAGACACTTTCATAATATCGTCCGCGGAAAAATTCTCGTCGATGAACAGCTCGGCTTACAGTCTTGGATTATTCATTTCCTAAGAAGACGCACCGAGATTTAGATTGTCAAACGCGAATTACGTTAGAAATCAAAACTAATAACAGAGAAAATGATTCTTTTGATGCATTGACATTATAATATGTATCTTTTAGACAAGAGAAGAACTTTCGGATCGGCTCTTCTTTCGCTTTTCATTGTGATTACGAGACGACATAATTTCAATTAATTGTACTTTATTAATTTTTTAATTCGCGATGTAACTTCTCACAAATAAATACGAAGATATCGTTATTATATGTCAGGCATATTCATATCTAAACTGAATTAACAATACAAACAGTCAGTTTCAATCTTTTATGAAACAGTATCAATATAAAAAAAAACGTAATTGTGTTTACCTTGCCAATTTCTTCCCTAATAATTTTAGCCTTTTTATATATGTCTGCCCGATCGCACAAGTCGCAAACGTAGCCATAACACGTACCTCCTGCCGCCCGGACAAGTTTAACAGTTTCTTCAATGCCTAGAACAAAATAAAACGTTTGGAAAAACGCTGCATCTTGTACTTTACTTGGCACATTTCAATAGCAATAATTGCACGTATTACGTCCTCTACTCGTAAAACAAATTTGTATCATGAAATACATATAAGTAAAACAACTGGCGCTAACGAGTTATTAATAAAAAAGAAAGTTCCAAGAGAAAGAGAAAGGTAATTTTGACATAACGAAATCGTTGTTGCTTTCTCAGCTAATTTCAATCTGCTTCGTTATGACATTGCAAACTTATAACCAATATTCTAGTTTAAAAAAAAAGTGATGCATTTTATTACTATTTTCGTAAATTTTTAAAATTATACCTTATACTACGTTATATTCACCATTGAAAAAATAATACGCAATAATACACACTGCAAATAATAAGTCAGAATTATAATTATTTATAAAATTTTATTGATAACTTTTATTATTTTTAAGTTCGCAAATATAATAACTTTTTAATCTTAATATATTTACTTAATATGTACTATATGCGTCAATATTAATATTATTTATTATCAGTAGTTATGTTAAAAATTCATTAAACATACATACAAATGAACTATTCGTAGAAAAGATTATTAAAAAAACACATATATATGCATAAAAATTAAAATATAACATATGAATTAAACACTACTGTGTGTAAAAACCTGTGTGTAAGTAGAAAGTTTCATCCTTTACAGTTCCTTTTCCGCTATTTGGCTTCTCGCCCGAAGTGTAACTGCTCTCTTCATGTGGTAGATAAAAAATACTAATGCAATCATTTCTTACGATACTTTCACTATAATCGATTTCTCCTAACATTAATTAAAACAAATATTTGTTGATATTTTGATTATACAATTGTTTGTAAAATTGATAAAACATTTTAAAAATCTTATGAAAGTTTCTAAAATATAACCGGAAGGAGAGAGGAAGAAATAAATATTTAAAGACAAATGTATATAATTTGTATATTTTCTTTCTTTCTTTTTCTTGAAAAAATATATAAAATAAATATATTTTAAAAATAATTTTTTAATGTAATTCTCAAGACATGTGATTTAATATTACACAAATTAAAAATATAAATAAAAAAGCAAAAGATAAATATAAAAAAGTAAAAGACAAAAATTGTTAAGTCACATATTTGCAAATAAATTTGTGATATAGCTTTTGGAAAAATAAAAAAAAAGATCAAAGATAAGTTATTTATATTACATATGTGTGTGTGCGCGTAAATTTATTTTAGTAATGTGGTGTATTGCGTGTATATAAAATTCGCGTATATATACATTATTGCATTGCATGACACTGTACATATATGCTTATACATATAGAGCACGATACTCATTTGGCATTTGATTTTTGTAACGGTAAACCAGTTTGTAAACCTAGCTCAGCAAATAAACTTGTAGACCTTGATCGAATGTGCTATTTCTATCGTTCAGAGATAAAATTTATACTATTTTTTATTTCTCATTAAAAATAAATTTCTGATTAATTGATTAATTTTTCGTAATGTACAATTTAATTGAAAGTTTATAAGTATCAATACAACAGAATCTCGTAGCAGAAAGACATGTATCTTCAAAAAAAAGTTGATTATTATGCTATGCACAGCCGTTCATAATCATAATCATGGATTAAAATGCAATGCGTCGCTTCTTATGTGTCCATGAACTCGAATGAATTCTGCATAGAGTGACCTTCTATTGTCATTGAACGAAAGAAAAAGAATAAAGTTGTATGTATGTACACACATTAATCTGAGCTGATCGATACTTGAACATTGTATTTTCGGTAATCGTGTTAACAAGTCACGTAGCAAATGTACCATCACGAAATAGGAAATACATTGATTGAATCGTGACATCGTCCATACAAATGTAGTATCAACTATCACCATCACGCTTGCATGTCACATCGTAAAATGGAAGTGCAAATATCTCCATAATTTATTTAAAGATGAATCTTTTTATTAGTGTCATTAAATGACGATCAATAAATATGAAAAAAAGAAATGCGATTAATTAGATAAGAAAATAATAATAAATATTTCCTAATTATAATAATAGTCGTTTCGGGATCTAATATATTTAGTTCGATCAATCTTAAATCGCAAAATGTACATAAGAAAAGATTTTCGCCATAAAATTCATTTGAGGAATTTGAAGATTATTTGCACAATTTAGAATATCTTTAGCAATTCTTTATTTGCTTTCTTGTATTTTTTTATAAATACTGTATTCATGTATGCATATTTTGATGATCTTTGAATATAATTAATTATCACTTTATAATGCTAATTGCTTCTGATCAAAGAAATGTATGAATATTAATAGACTCATTTCGATCAAAGAAATTTATGAATATTAATATACATCGACATAACTACCTACTTTTGTAAGAGACACATTATTCGTCATTAATCATTATTTTTTTTTTTTCTGAAACTGGATTCTCTTATTATATTTTACGATCGAGCGTGAATCTGCTCATCGCTACCTATGCAAAACAATGAAGATCTCCGATTCGAAACTGTTGTGCTTCCAGGCTCGAAATAGACTCAGATGTCATCTTGGTAACATCGGTCGTAAAGGCAATTATCTTCATTATTTTGTGCATATACGGAAGGCAGCGACTAGCAGATTCACGCTCGGTCATAACACTATATGTATGTATATTATGTTTCATATCGTAAATACTTATACCATGTAATTTTATGTAATGTAAATTTGTAAAACAATGTAATTAAGGATTGTTACAAACTAAAAGTATATTAACGCAAAAAATAATAGGCCAAAGACGAGCAAATAAATCTAAAAGTATATAATTATAATTATATGTATTAAGTATATTATAATTTAATATGTAAGTAAATTTTTTTATTCATTCAAAATGAATTGGGTATTGATTGATTTAAAATAGCACGATAATATAACCAAATTATTTAATTTTTTATTGTATAAATATTTTATATACGAATTGTTATGCTTTCTACTGTTTGAAATTGTAAATAGAAAATAAATAGAATTAAATTTCAAAATTTTAATCTTTGCTAAGTAATAAATAAATTTATTATTACTTATCTACTTAATTTATTGTTTATCTATATAATATTATTACTTAAAAAGATTTATTTATTATATATGTAAATATGTATTAAACACTTGATTTATGCTATATAATTGTTATAGCTTACGCAACATCTACAATTAATAATGATTTTAAAATTAAAATAATTAAACAATTATAACAATATGATTGTCGTATATAAATAACAAATCTTAATTAATTATTTTATTAATTATAATTATATTAATAATATAATTTTTTTAATCTTGGAAAAATTTATTAAGTATCATTATGAGACACTTAAAAAAGTTAAGAGAATATTAAGTTTTATCATTTTCACAATACTGTTGGGTTTTTCCACTACAATACATTATACATTTTGTAAGTAGCTGTTATTGTGTACTTTGATCATTCTAATGTTAAGAGAGTTAATAAAAGAATAGGTAATTTTATTTACGTTACGAGGCGTTTAATATCAATGCAGTATTTACTTACTTACTCGTTTTATTTATTTTTCATTTGTAGATTGTTGAACATTTTATATTTCCTGTCTAAAATAGGGCATCAATAAATAAATTTTAAAATCTTTTAAATTTGTAGTGAACAATAACTGATTGTGAGATATACATACATAATTAAAATTGATATAAATTACAAATGTAAATCTCATTTTATTTGTAATGATTACAACAATTTACGTAATATCTACATAATAAATTAGAAATTTTTTATAAGTTAACAAGTTAAAAATAAGCTGAATTAAAATTAATATTAGATGAGCTATAAAAATTAATAGAATGATCGTCACTCTTTCACATATGTAATTATACATATATACAAGTATTGTATACAGTCGTGGACATGTTGGTTGCGACATGTTTTTTTTATAGGTTTTTAGTATATATTTAATACATATAATATATATATATATTTTATATTTTGCAAATGCAAACGATGTACTATCTTTAGTTTAGAGACAATACACCAATCGCTGGCTCGCACTTGCAAAATATTAGTGCGTTTGGAAACCTATTAAAAAAAATGTCAACCGATATGTCCACTACTGTATATATATGTAATATGTATATTGTTAGATCTATTTATATATACATATATACATATAATTATAGGTAGGTCTGCCATATCAAAATTTTCAGAACTAGAACTTACAAGCCAAAAATCCCGGACATTTCATGTGCAACCAGACGCATATAAAAAAAGCGTGTGTAGTAGGTTAGCGGCTCGTTTCTGAATAATTACGCGGAAGGAGATAAAATATTTAGAAGATTCCCTGAAAATCCTAAAATCCCGGACGCTCATAACTATCCTGGCCTTCGGAAAATTCCTCCGGACAACCCCGGACGCCCCAAAAAAGAGGACAGTGGGAAAAGAAAACGGATGGCAATCCTAATTATGGGTCTGCATGTAATTCGCTAACAGCATTAATTTTATTATAAGAGCTTATAACTCTGAAATTGTACCTTTTCTTATTAAAAATAACCAAATATTTTATTAGATATATAATGTAATATATTTATATTACTAATAAAAAATTTTTAAAATATTGAATTTATTATAATCTGGCAATGTATATATGGTATGATAAACCATGGAATTTTATTATGCCTGTTATTATTATTTATGTATCCTGTGTCTTTTTATTAAAGAGACATTTTAGCCTTTTTTGATTGTGTCAAATATAAATTTTAATGGATAATCATTATTAAGAAGTGTATTAAGTGAAATTTAAGTTTTTTCCTGGCGTTTTAGATGTGAAAGTAAAATAGCCCTATCAGTTATGCCAATTACTGTGCTTTGTTTCTGGCAAATATTTTATTGATTTATATTTATATATTTTGTTTAAGATTTCTATTTACTCATTATTACTATTTCTGATTGTTATGTCAGAGAAGCAAAAATTAAAGAGTACATAATAAAAAATCTTAAAAAATGACAATAAAAAATAACAATTCTTGAAAAATATTAAATTAATAATACATATTTATATGTATCTGTTTATATAGTTATAAGTAAATCATATTTATTTCTTAATAAATATGATTTAATTCTTCCTCAAAACAAAATAAAGATAGTTTTCAGTATATTTTATAAGTCTATTCTGTCGAGTGTAAATGTTTTATTAAAAAATATTTCTATTTAAATATATCTTGCAAGAATTTTTATTATGTATTTTTTAGTTTCTGACGTCACAATTTGAGATAGTGATGAGTGAACAGGAGTTTTAATATTGTATAATCTATTATTTATTATTTTACGTTTAATATTTTGCATTTAATATCTTAAATTGTGTTAAACTATTAGAAATTATTCTGATACATAAGTATCGCTAATTCGAGAATGCTTAACTCGGAGAGATGGAAAACGTTAATGATATCCAATATACCAATAAAAATCAATATCACGCAATAAAATATAAAAATTGATAACACAAGATTGATTAAGCTAAAGGCTAAAGATATACTGATACAATATCAATAATTATTTATCTATATGTACAATCTTAAGACATACATTTATAAATACATCAAATAAGAATGAAGAAGCATTATTGACGGCCAAGGCAAGATATTAATGCCCAATAATATTTTAATTTTAAATACCCTTTGTCAGCTACAATAAACTGCACGATTAATTAATAGCGGATTTGAAATGCAAT